AAAGATCTAGCTACAGTGTCAGGACGGTCTAATTTGCTCATAATCCGCCCAATGATATCAATCATTTTAGCGCCGGCTCCCCACTCACCGTAATGCCTCCGTCCAAACGATATAGATATGAGAGGATGTTGTTCGGTTTTTTGACCCTACCACGTGATTAAAAGACCCGGTTCATATCCTTCCCATACATAAGCTGCCCCTCACTGGCTTATCTATGGGAGAACGGACGGGATCCCGAGTTTTCCAGTGGGTATGGTCGTATGTACTAGTTCCTCGCAAACAATCTGTTTATCAATGCTGCTGTGAGTGGTCGTGTGGAAAGGAGTACCCTTTAGTCATCGCGAAGTGGATGAAAAAGATCATTGACAACAATACCACGTACATGCAGTTTTAACAGCTTAACGATGCCTTTGATGTCTTCCAATCCGTTATTCAACATTTTATCTATCCTTCTTCATACTCCCACCACTTATTTTTGGTATCATAGCATCTGCTACCCCGATCTCTTCCGTGTTCTCAAGATTATGACAGCTTACATAGCCCTCAACTTCTCCTTCCCCCTCTTCCTCTTGCCACCGACCTCCTTCTGCTCCTCGATCTCCAACAACGCCTCCCTCTTCTTCTCACCCACCACCTTGAGCGCCTCCCTGATGACTCTCGTCTCGAGGTTGACGCCCTCCTCCGTCCACGCCTCCATCTGTCTTCCGACTCTCTGCTCAATCGCCAGCACGAGATCGACATCTCTCTGTCCCACAAACGTCACCGCATCACCCTTGCGGCCCGCACGCGCCGTACGACCGACACGATGGATGTAGTCATCCGGATCGCGGGGGATATCGTAGTTCACCACAATTTTCACCTCGGGGATATCAAGACCTCTGGCCGCGACGTCGGTGGCGACCAGGATGCGCGCGGCACTGGCGCGGAAGCGGCCTAGATTGTCGATACGCTGGCTCTGGGGGAGCTTGGAGTGCAGGGAGGTGACGCGGTGGTCGAGCAGGCGGAGCAAATGGTGCAGGAAGTCAGCGGTGCTGGTGCGGTTGCAGAAGATGATGACGGACTTGTCGACGTTCTGGGGCGTCAGGAGGAACATGTGCAGGTAGTGCTCGCGGTGGGTGACGGGCACCTGAAGGTGCATCTGGCGCAGGGTGGCGGGGATGGCGAGGCGTTGGGTGTCGACCTCGCAGACGAAGACGGGGGCGCGGCCGGGGATGGGCGGGCGCTCGGAAAGGGCCTTGACTTCGGGCGTCATGGTGGCGGTGAAGAGCAGCGTTTGGCGCTCGGAAGGAGGGGGAAGGACGGAGAAGCACTCTTCGACGTCGGGCAGCATGGAACCCTTCCCGCTGTTGGCAAGCAGGCGGTCGGCTTCGTCGAGCACGATGAACTTGACGCGGCGAAGGCCGCAGATGGTGTCCTCGCCTGAAGTGCGGATGTGGTCGGCGAGACGGCCGGGGGTGGCGATGACGAGATGGGGCCGATTAGCGAGGTCGATGGCTTGTTTGCGCATGTCGGAGCCGCCGGTGATGAGGACGGCTTTGAGGACGTGGGGTTGGGAGAGGGCGATGACTTGCTCCATGATTTGGAGCGCGAGCTCGCTGTGGTAGGTGGTTAGTCTCTATCTATTGTTCACGAGGGTCTCGTCTCAGGGGTGCTGAGAGTAAGCTTACCGAGTGGGTGTGAGGATGAGACCAAAGATGGCGGATGGGTTGGCAGCCCATTGCTGGAGAATGGGGACGGCAAATGCTACCGTCTTACCCGAACCTGTCCTACTGCCACCGATACAGTCCCTGCCCTTAAGGATCTCGGGTATACAACCCTTCTGAATGCCGGTTGGCCGCTTGATGGCCATGTTGGCGAGCGACTGGACCAGCCATGGGCGGACATTGAGTGCGTCGAAGGTGGTGTTGGCGTCGATAGGAACCGAAACTGTGCTGGCAGGCTCTGGTACTGGGGTGGTAGGTGCTGTCTCTTCAGTCTTCTCTGTCTTGGGTGCCTCAGGTTGCTTTTTCTTGATGCGGGATGGGACGTTGTTGAAGACAGGCTTGACGGGGGCGACGGGCGTGTCATCCTCTTCCTCGTCTTCGATTTGAGCAACAATATCGTCGATGGTGGGTGATGTGCGACGGCGTTTCCTTGGGGCGTTGCTATCTAGCGAGTCGGAATCTGAATCTTCGTCTGAGCCTGACCCGGCGCTCTGGTTCTGCTCGTCGTCATCTTCGTCTGAAACGCCTTCATCTGAATCGTGCTCATCCTCGTGCTCATCTTCCTCCTCTTCATCTGAACCGGCCGACTCATCCTCCCCATCTAGCTCAGACCCAAAGTCGGACTCATCCTCAACAATTTCGGGATGATCATCAACCTCCTCAGTGCCGGCGGGCGCCTTGTTAACCTTGGATTTGAGGTTGGCTGTGGCATTAGCCTTTTTGGCCTTTGCGGCTGTCGCGGACAGCATTGTTGGTTTGTTACTGTGTTTTTCAAGGTTGAATGGCAGATTAGGACAAGTGTTGTGTCTTTGTTCAAAATACCGTCAATTCGGTTTCGCTTGAGAACCGTGATGGGCGCGTCTAGCAGATTCGATGTGTGAAGTTGATTATCGGTCGATAAACTGATAACGACTGCAATCGCCATCAAAACTCAAAATTTTTGGTTCAGCAAGGTTCTCGGGAATGACCGAAACGGGAAAGCGTGCTGTAATGTCACATTCAGCGCTATTACGTAAGCATAGTATTCAGACTTCATGTCTCGAACTTCCAAGACTCGAGACTTCACCTCGTTCTCAACTTTCTTTACACGTGCTTATGTCCTGCGCAAAAAGACACTTATGAGGGCAGAAACTACTGCTTATAGCGATGAACTGCCCATTTCCTTGGAGTTTCTCCTGCTTGCCCGACGTCCTTTCCATTCAAGAACTTACTGATCGCCAAGACCCGACGTCCACGCACGGACCACCGGCAGGCCTGGGCCTGGGGTAGCATCAAGATCCACTCAGGTACCTTGAAACGCATTGTCGAAGCGCCGGCGAACCGCCAAGGTCGCATAACAAGCGTCAGCCACCAAAACCATCGGCGCTTAAGTTTTGGACTGTGAGGTCCCTTTTGTTTCCAAATTCCGGTTCTCTCATGGAATACGAAGAAGCCGTTGCTTTGATCTTCATAGTGCGACTTCTGGGCGCTTGGAAGAATGCAAAAAATAGGGGAGTCTTTCCTGTTTGGAAAAGACCCGACCAAAAACAGTCCAGGATCAGGGATTCTGTCAGAAACCAAAGCAATGTCGAGCTTTTGATGTCCGGTGTTGTGCTGACTGCACAGTCTCCGAACAACGTCTAGGCAAGGAGTTACATGCCGATGAGAGATGAGGACCTGATTCACTCAGTTGAAAGAGAGGACATCAAGGTGAAGCTCATTGGCTTTATGCCCAGACGGATCACGACGGACTACATCATGTCCTCCAGCGGCCCCCGTCTTGTGCCATTACAAGTGCCGCAGAAGGGCATGTCGTTGACGATAATCCCAAGGCTACGGATCGTACCTATGGCCGCCGCTTAACCGGCCAAGTCTAGAGTGGAACCCGCGGTACATAGCCGGTAGGACACGCGAGCTTGCCCCGGCGATGCATGGGCTATCGGCCCTTACCCAAGGCTTGCCTTGCCTTCTTACACGGCGATTCAGATACGGCTCTCGCTCCCCAGTCAGCACTCGGACATTTCAGCAGTGTAAACATGATGGGCCATGTTGTGGTACTGTTACTGTACTTTACCGGCACAGTGACTTACCGATTTGGCCCCCAACTATCCTCATGGAGCAAGCAGGCAAATGTGCCCGGGCAAGCTGTCAGCATCGTAGCCAAAAAGGCGAAGATTGTTTTGGTTATATGGTATCGTCATGCCCTCAATGATTGGTGAGTTGTAATGAAGCTACTACGTATAGCATCTTACAAGTCTTATGCTTCATACTCATCTCGATTTGCATAGGTCAAGATCCTTCATTGTCATCCATAACTTCTCACTTACTTCTAAACGAATGTGTTGATCAAAGCAAGCATATATCATCCACCTGGTTGGTTCCCTAGGATGATGACGTTAATCTCAACGCCTGAGCTGACTATGCCGTAGTTTCGCTGGACCATCTCTCCTGAAACACCGCTCATCCACAGTGAACCGAGAGGCACAGTGTCTCTCAACGACGTAGACGGTTCTGTCTGTGCCTCTCTGTTCAAGCACTCTGAGGCCACATGCCGCAGCACCCGTTGAAGATGCCGATAGCCCCCCTGGAGGTATGAACAACAAGGCAAGACTGGTGGGATTGCGGGAGGGTTGAAGCGAAAGACGGGCCTGACTGGCGACTGGCCAGGAGGAGTGTCGATCTGACGCCCTGTGGCGGCTTTCCAGCGTGCCAATCAGAGGTTGAGGACGGCCGTTGTAACTTGTAAATCGAGTATCGTACGGATGCCATCAGATGGCACCAATCCAGAGACAGCCTGGCCCTGGCTCGTTTGGTTTGATGGCATGGGTGCCGGGCCTTTAATTCTCACGACAGAGAAACTGGTGTTGTTTGGTTCCTATGCGGTAATGTGGTTATGTTTTCGTACAGATCATCAAAAATGTTGCCTGACTGTGTGATGCGGTGCTGCAGCAACCGCCAGTCGAACCTGTGTGATAAATACCCGGCGGAGACGAAACAAGCGCCGCTGGAGGGTGTCTTCTTTTTTCCTGCTTCTCTTCTCTGTTATGTTAATTGAATCATCTTAGGTTCCAACAAGTCCTTCAAAGTTCCAAGCGCCGTTCTATCGTTGAGTTGCAACCTCGGGCTCGACTGCCCTGTTGTGAAAAAGAACAACACCCCGCCGTTCAGGGCAGCATCCCCCTGTGCACAGAAAGGACCCCTGGTCCGATCACATTGCTAGTGTGGGGCACACAGCCGACGTCCACTCCACCGCCGAGACAGACACTGCCCGCCCTGACAGTCCGCTCCTCGTGCCGCTCTTCAAATCAAAAACTCCCACTTGGGAACAAGCATCGCCGTGTGTCAACAGAAACAACGACAAGTCGACAGATCCCTAACATCGTAACCTCCCAGGGCTCCGTCATCCCCGCTCAAGAAACGACTCCGCCAAGCTTGTAACACTGCCAGTGGCTCAACAAACTCTCCTTCGGCGCCTGGCCCATTTCCCAAAGTCCGGCCCGGTCCCGTCTTTCCCAACCGAGTCTGTCTGAGTCCTACGAGTCCTTGTGTCGCCTGCCATTCATCCCCTCCAACAGCTTGCATATCTAGCCGTGCATCCCGCACTCACACACGCAACTTAAACCTTACATACAAAAGCCCAACCATCTTTACACCGATATCCGGCACTTTCATTAACCGATTCTTGATCTATTATCCATCTACGGCCGATTTAAAAGACACACGTCTACACCATATCACTTCGACTTATCGCCATCTCGTTGTTGTTTTCCAGTTGACGTTGACCTACGAGCCTACCTACCGGGCCTGCCTGCTATACAGTGCGCCCCTCCCCGCCGACAAATCGCACTGCTGCTTTTCGTCCGAACGACTCGACTCGTCTCTTTCATCTCAAATCCCGTCGCCTGTTTCACCCATTGCATCTTCAGACAACTTTTCTTGCTCCAGCAACTAGCACTGGCGAATTAAGTAAAGTCATCGTCGCACACCTACGATACCCGACGGCCCAGACTACCATAGCCTTTCCAAGACGATCTGCGGCCAAAGACCACCAACGGCACCTTTACACGTCTCGTGACCGGCTCGATTTCGCCTCACAGGCCTCTCTCTGCCCATTCCGAACACTGCAACTTGTCCGGCTTCCAAAGCCTCAACCCATTGTCTGAAAAGTCGAAGCGTCCATCCCGCATCGCAGCCCCAACCGGTGACAAGCAAAGGCACCTGCCATCAATAGACTACCATGGCCGACTACCAAGGTCAAAGCAGCAACGATGCTGCCAACAAGGCAAGTAAAAGAACTACTTAATTGTGGCCTCCGCATTTGCCCTTCCAGCATTATCTCTCTGCCCCTTCCCCCCTATCCTCCTTGAGGTGTCTGGTGGCCGCCGCTCCCACCCCTCAACACTCGTTTTGCGTCTATACTCGCTCGCTGCGCACCACCGCTAACACTTTACACCATGCAGGCCAACCCAGGCCTCCAAGCACCTCAACTCCAACAAGGACCACCCCCCGTTCCCATAATGGCGCCAGCCCCCGCACCCCTCCTCCGGCCAGCAATCCCCGGCGCTCGCCCCGGTGGTCGGGGTCCCCCACGTCTTGGTCTTGCGATCCCCCCGTCTCTAAGTGTCAAGCCCGTTGGCAACCCCGGTGCACCCCCGGCGCGTGCGGCGCCACCACAACTTAAACTCGCTACCCCCATGGGTAGCACCACAATACCACATGAGCAACCTGCCGGACGACCAGGTGCCCAAGGCTACAGCGCTAGCGGCGCCAGTGATAGCAGTGCGGCGCATAGCAGGAGTGGCAGCTTTGGCCCCGAGAGCAACCCTACCAGCGCCGACACCCGGTATAGCAATGTTTCGTTTATGGGCGCTCAAAGGCCACACGGCACACCAGACCCCGTTTCTGCAGTTGGCTCTCTGTACTCCAATGCCAGTGAGGGAGGTGTGGGCATGGAGCGAGACAACAGCCTACATGGACTGGAAGCATTTGATCAGCTCACACTGGAGAAAGCGAGGACACTAGATGTTGAAGATCTTGATGACGATGGGTGGAGGATTGCCATGATGGAGAAGAGAGTCGAGGAGATGGGACCCCTAGGCGAGGGCGCAGGAGGTGCGGTAACCAAAGCCAGGTTGAAGGGCGGCAAGACCGTATTTGCGCTCAAGGTATGACTTCCCGATTGAAATGATGTAATCGAATCCTTGCTGACAACTCTTCCAATAAGATCATCACAGCAAACCCCGACAAGGACGTTGCCAAGCAAATCGTTCGTGAACTAGGATTCAACAAGCAGTGTGCCTCCGAGCACATCTGTCGGTACTTCGGCGCCGTTGTCGATACTCAGTCCGCGACCATCTCTATTGCCATGGAGTATTGCGAGGGCGGTTCTCTCGACAGTGTCTACAAGGAAGTCAAGAAGCTCGGCGGGCGCACTGGAGAAAGAGTCCTGGGCAAGATCGCCGAGGGCGTCCTCCACGGATTGACATATCTCCACAGCAAGAAGATTATCCACCGTGACATCAAGCCTAGCAACATCCTCCTTTGCCGCAATGGCGAGGTCAAGCTTTGCGATTTCGGTGTCTCGGGCGATTATGGTACGAACGGCGCGGCCAACACGTTCATCGGTACCAGTTATTACATGGCACCTGAGCGAATCACGGGCCAGTCATACACCATCACCTCGGACGTCTGGTCTCTGGGTGTTACCCTGCTCGAGGTTGCACAGCACCGATTCCCCTTCCCCGCGGACGGTACCGACTCACAACCCCGTGCCGGTCTTATCGACCTTTTGACGTACATTGTCCGTCAACCGGTGCCGAAGCTGAAGGACGAGCCTGATGCGAATATCTTCTGGACTGACAAGTTCAAGTACTTTATCGACTGCTGGTATGTATACACTTTACTTATGATCATGTTGCCCAATTTGCTAACCAGGATAATTGTGTAGCTTGGAGAAGGACCCCAACCGCAGAGCGAGCCCTTGGCGTATGCTAGACCACCCCTGGATGTTGGAGATACGGTCAAGGCGCGTGAACGTAGCCCGTTTCCTGGCTACGGTATGGGGCTGGGAAGATGAGAAGGGAGGGAAGGCATAGTGTGTCTGCTGTGGTGGAAATAATCGATCGAAAGCGGCAAGTTCAGTTCACAGGTCGTGGAAATCTTGCAAACGCCGGAAGAACAAGAATCGTGGACCGGAGGATATCGGGGTCGCTTCTTCACCTGAAGATGTCGAGTCTGGTGTTTTCGTTTTTGAGGAGGACGAGAACAATGGCTGCCATGGTGGTGCGGCTCGTGTCTGACAAACGTTTGGGTAGATAAATATGATATGAACCCCTCATAGCAAGAATTGGAATGAAAGGAATTTGTACATGCACTGAATGCAAGCTTGGGTTCTTGTTGTGCTCGCAAACCATGTGTGGTCAGCAACCAACCGTGAAACATAATCTAGGAGTTTCCCTTCGAAAAACGAAATGCACAACAGGAAACCGGGCCTGGAGGTGATGCGCATATATATGATCTGCACTTCGCCCTTACATCTCACAGTCGGAGGTCCCTGATATTTCATATCTCACCACCGGCATATTTGAGCCCCGGCATATTTGACCACCGGCATATTTAATGCACACGCAAATAACTACACATACCTCACTCCCTTGTGGACATGCGATCATGCTGTCCCCACCAAGTCCTCGTTTGCATCCTTCCCATTTGGCCCTCTAGTTCATCCATCCCAGCTCTACAGCCACTAGACCAGGGGTATATAAGCCAAAATACCAGCAACATCTTACATGGTCCGTTAGCACACCCGGGAGTAATGCGAGAGAGCTCTTTATGACCTGTTACCAAGTCAACTTGGTTGGGTAGTTGCCGGCTCGAGCCCGGTGCGGATCAACCTTTTTTTCTCCCTTTTCTCCCTTTTCTCCCTTTTCTCCCTTTTCTCTCTTTTCTGTTATTTATTTTGGTTATTTTTGCACGGAGGTCCGGAGGTCACTTAAGAGAAAGGTTGCATATGAGGAAGAAGCTATTGTGCACGTATGTTGGTTTGATAGATGCAGTGCAGTGGAGTGTACAGATGCCGTTAACGACAATGCATCGACTGGAGTGCAGTGATATGGGTAGTGTGCGTGGTGTGGGATTGGACTGGAACTGCAAGAGGCAGGACTCGGGGGCAGGAACGCATGCCCCTGAATGGGAACCCTAACCCTTGACTGGCTGACTGACTTTTGAGGACTGAGATCCAGAACCGTCAGTCGTCACTCGTTAGGTAGCCAACTTTATGACGGGTATCATGAACGGTAGAAAGTTGTAGAGAGGCCTGTGGCATGTGAAATCGAGTGGCTGTAACTGCCAAAAAAAAAAAAAAAATTTCAAATTTTTTTTTGGACGCAGATGAGGGCTTGAATATGTGTACTGTATGTAGAAGCCAGCGTGACGAGAAGAAAAAAAAGATGAAGAAAACTAAAAAAAAACCCAAAAAAAAACCCGGGAAAAGGGAAATCAAGGATGAAAGAACCTAGGAACGAATAAGAAGCGGCCAATTATAACGGAGATGGTGAACATTCTAATATTTTTACACGCAAGGAGGATGTCCGAAGTTTGTCATCGGGCAAGACAGAACATAAGAGGACAGACGGATTTATCATGCTTGAGACCTGTATTTTTTAATTTTTTTAATGAAGACGTGGTATGTACGTGCAGTGTAGGTGGTCCGGGCCCTTTTGCATGAGGAAGCTCTTTCCCTCTTTCCTCAATCGACTTTAAATCTGCTCTTTCTCCTCTCTTCCCTCGTCCCTTCCTCCCTTCCTTATGAGCAAGATAACCGTTGCACAACTCTCACGTCCAAACAACCTTATCTAGGTACCAATCTATCTCTCAACTCTCAACTCTCGCTCCATCGTTCATTCCGAACGAAAACCAAAAAAAAAAAAAAAAAAAAAAAAAAACCCAGAAGAAAAAACCAACAAACTGGAAGCCATCTTCTTGCCGCGCTCTTAGGTGTTACGATCCAACTAGAGTTATGTAAGCTAGCTAGATAGACGGACCAATCAGATTGGACCCGAAAGGCTCGGGTCCACGGGTCCGGTATGTCGGGTCCAGGAAGGCCGGTATAAAAGAAGGCCTTCCCAGGCCTCTTGTTACCGGATCTCCAGCAAGCAATAGCTATCACAACTTACCAGTACCTTTTGGCTACTACTCCGTTACTCTATTGTTCTATCCCAGCGATAATACTCCTGTGCTTGTAACGGTTCGTCACATTAGGACCAGATTGCCTTTCACCTTGTCAGTTGGAAAGGAAGATGGAGGGTTAGCAACCGGTGAAGCGACGTGGAGGGGAGGAGAGAAGGGACATGTGGGAAAACATACCTGAGGATGGAGATATGAAAAGGTTCGAGAATCATGGGATATCTCTAGGGGCAGCAGGGCGACAAGAGTCAACAGCCGACACAATTTTTGTTTCTTACCCCGATTTCCCTTAATTACTCCCCAAGATTGTTTGGGCTATTGCATACCTCTACATGGAAGTTTGTCTCCTCGGCCGGCTATCTTACGACGGGATTCGGCTGGGAGGACACTGCCAGACACAGCAATAGGCATTTGGGAGTGGGGCAGCCACTCACTCCTTCTCTCTCTGTCTGCAAAGAACGATCACTGCATCAATCTTATCCCCTTCTCAAACTACGGAAATCTTCGTTTAAACGAATTCTCAGGGAGATTGTGACTGACCCAGTGCGTGTGACTTCCGCGGATTTTCTCACGGATGGCGGTAGCGATTGACCTGAAAACAACCGCATGTTAAAAAAAAAAAAAAAACCGATTCCAGAAAATGCGAAAAAAAAAAAAAAAAAGATTCCAGAAAATGCGAAAACAAAAATTACTTGCTTAGCGGGAAAGATCCAGTTCATCATACGGTAATCTTCTTTTTCTTTTTCT